CTCCCTTCTTCCCATTCTACCTTCCTCTCCCCATCCCTCCACTTTGTCTTTCATCATTCTGTTATTTTTCTTTCCCTTTTAAGAAACTGTCTGTTGCCCTGAAACTGGGTCTTTTTTCCCTCCCATGGGTCTCTGTGATTACCCCCCCCCCTTTCCTCTCATTGCCTCTCCGCTCTTTCTCCCTCCCACTCACATCTTTGCTGACGGATTAAATGTTGAAGGCAAGGTCTGGTAGAGAAAAAGAAAAAGTCTCTTTTAATTGTGTTGATCGCTAATTAGCCAGCCTGTCTCATCTCTCGGCGGTGGATGTGGTAAAACAGGATGCCCTTTCCTGGGTCAGCGGGCCACAGCCTCAGGCATAACTTGTACTCACACACACTCACATATGCACACACACTACTTTGTACTTCTAAGATTCGAGTTTGAGCTGCCAGCTTGTAGATTTTCTCAGTGGAGGCTGGTGACTGAAAAAGTTTAGGAGGGCAGGGTGAATCGGTAACTGTGCAGTGAAAGGAGATTTTAGCTAAAAATACATGGTTATGTAAGGAAAATGCTCCACAAACCTGGGTTTCACCCCCCTCTTTATTCCCCACAGACCACTCTCCCTTGCTTCCAATCATTCTTATCATTGTTTACTGTCAGCTGTCTCATATTTATGCCACAAGAGGCTATCTTGAATTATTTCCACAAGCAATAATTCTGGCTTTCAAGACAGAAAACCATAGTTCATAGCCGTAGTGTAGGAATGTTGAAAGATTAAAAGCAAATTTTATTGGGATCTGTCCAATGACACTGTGACAGGACATAAACGTATCTGTCCTTTGCAGTGTGCTGTGGTTCAGTGGGTACAGCGTGTCATAAACACTGCCTGGATTAGGACTTCAATTCCCACAGGGCCCACCTACGTTAAAAATGAATGCACTCATGAATGAAAGTACCCAGCTAATGGTATATGTTACATCATATTGACCTTATTATAAAAAGAAAAACCTGTAAAAGGCTTGCCTTTTCAAGCTCTGGCTAATATTGTAGAAACACACAATTTATTGTCCGTGCTGTATTCAGCTTTTTGTGTGAGTTGGTATATAAAGATTTAAGACATTCATTTAATTTCATTATTTACGGTGGTTGTGTTCTGGCCTCTGCGGTCGACTTGTTCCTATTTCCACAGTATAAATAACACAGGCTGTACAAAGGAATACTTTTGTTGTAATTAATATACACAAAATGTCTTTTAAAATATATTTAAATCCATTCTTTGTTCTGATCTTGAATATATAACTTTGTACTATTCCTCATGAATCTTAAAGTATATTGTCTTTGGCTGATCTTTTTAATCAAACTTTCCTGCAGTTACAGATACGAGGCATAATCAATGGGCGTTAGCTTTGAGAAGTGGATTATATAAGGACCAAATGTATAGTGTGGAATAAGGACTTTGTGGTAGTTTCAAGTAAAAGATAAATAGTAAAAATAAATATGCAACCTCGGTGCTGAGCTGATTGAAAGAGACAGAAAACTCTTATGTGACCGTTTATGTGTTTAATAGGGAAAGGATTAATTGGATATTAGTTTCGGTGGAAGACGGCATGTGTTGAAAGTGAGGTAAATAGTGACTGGAAAGGAAACCGTATCATATCCAAAGAGAGAGAGACAGGTTTGATAAGTCGTCTATGTCTAAATATTAGTAGTTATCTTAAACAAACCATTAAGCTCCATTAATCAAGTTGGATATTTTTACCTACATTACTTTTCCTCTTGTTTTACAGAAACCATTGTTTCTTGCTGTCACTTTAAAAGATACACAAAGATTCAGTTTTACCCTCATTTTTCCTTTTTCTTACTTGCTTGTTAAGTGGAATTTGAGTCATTTTCAGACAATGCAATGACATGATTTACCCTGTTATTCTCCTTTACCAGCTACCCAGCTTCTCTAATCACACTGCAGGAAAAGAATTTAAGCCAAAGCCCTTCGCAGATCCCAAAAATTGTTAGCAATACTCATTAGAAACCAGCAGGTCTCATTGGCAATGTGTCGGCCTCAGTGGGGGATGCTAACAAGCCTTTCTCTTTGTGTCCTTCCAGTCATCTGGAGTCGGAGCGCAGCGCCCTGAAGAGGAGAGAGTGGGAGAGGAGGAACCAGGAGGTCCAACAGGATGAAGACCTGTTCTCAACTGGATTCAACCTTTTTGGAGAACCTTATAAAGTAAGTGTGGTTGATTAATGGATAGTTAATAATGTATACATAGTTTGCAGAAATACACTTATTTGCTTTCTTTCTGAAGCATTAGATGAGAACATTGAGATATTGAGACACTGTGCATAAAATAAAAACATGAAGTTTGTTAGTTTGAAATATTTACAGCTTGTAACTCCACCTAAAGCAGTAAATGAACATTTTTACATTTCTGTTTGTGTACAAATGAAATGAGTGAAATAGAACATATATATTTTTTGGACTTAAGAGTTACCCACGCTAACGTTAGCTGTGTTAGCTGTTTCCCACTGCTTGAAACTCCATACGGTCTGGGTCTATTTATTTTAGGAGGGCGTGGTGATTTTAACATTATGCATATGTGGGTAATTTTTCACCCCCACCCTGGTAATAATTACCGCCACAATTACCTCGTGTTTTTCAGCTAACTCGCTCGTTTTTCTTATAGGGACGTCGTTTTGTTTTATTTATTTAAATTTCACTTCTGTGTAAAAATTTAGTAAGCCAAAAATGTTTCTGCTAATCTGATGGATGGAAACATGCTAACATGCATATATAGGCGTATTTGGGAACAGAAATGACCACAGATGAAAAGCTAAAGCTGTCAGGCGAGCAAGACGCTGTAAAAGTTTTTAAAAAAACATGTAAATGTGTTGCTGTAATGTCGGCTTTGAGTGCTGGAATTCTCTTTTGAACCCTTGTTCTTTTTTTTTCTTTTTTTATATATTTGTTTACATTGTGGGAAACTGGAACCATTAAAAGTATGCAGAATTAGCTATTAGCATCCTGTTTGCACTGCGCCCAGCGGGGTGCAATGGATGTACAGACAAATGGATTACTTTGATACTGAGAAAAACACGATGGTTCTGATGAGTCAAGTTCTGTAGTTACAAGCAACATCTTTTTTCTATGATTTCTAAGCAATTTAATGAGCGTTTCTGATCCTCAGTCAGTGTATGTCACACTGAATGTTGACTGTGTTATGACTCAGAGAAAGAGTCTAATTCACCTCAGAATTCACACAGAAAATTCACCTCACGCAGTATCTTTACCTCACGTCCCTCCCTCCGGCTTTTGACTTTGTCCTGCTGAAAGTCCATGTCTATTACAAACCATATCCTGTAATTTCCTGACGGTTAAAATGCCTTCTGGAATGATGAGTTAAATTACGGAGGAGCACAGTGAATATTTCATTCCCCACCTCTCCCTGTAATGTTAATCCCGTCCGAATAGGGCTTAAAATAGGTTATTTGCCTTCCAGCTCCATAGATAACAACACCGCAGTCTTCTGATCTGACTCATAAAGAGAGAAACTTTTTCACTTTTAATCTAAAACAACACATTTTACAACTGTCTATCTGTTTAAATTTAAAGACTGAAACACAATCTGAAAAGCAATCTGTAAGCGAACGTCAGTAATCTACACACAGCACACACTCAGCTTTACAACCTGGCTGAGCTGTGATTCTTTAGGCCGAGTGCTGCTTTCTCATTGCTGTTTAGGAGACAGTTTTATACTTCGCTGTGAAGTTTTGATTGATCTCCGCGGGAGGAGAATGGACATGCCTGACACCAGAATTTCATTTGGGCGAATGGAGTGAATTTACGACGTCTTAATCAGCGAGGATGGGCCACTCTCCTCTAAAGCAGCCCCGCTTTGTGATTTAGGCTCATACGAGACAGTTTTGCCTTGTGCAAGTAATCAATTGAAAGGAATTGTTATTGCTAACTAACAATTATCCAAACATTTTTTTGTACCATAATGCATTTCAGCGCTGTCTTTGTGGGTGATAAAGCAGATGATGGCCTATGGATCATTTGTAACCATTTTTTTCTCATGCTGTCCTCCTGAGGCCAATTGTGTAATATCCCCGAGCATAAGGTTCTGGTCTGTTCTGATCTAAGGCACTTGAGATGCCATTATTTTGTTTCTTCTTTAGCTGAAAGTGAACTAGCCATGCATGAAGTCCATTGACACTCTCCTGCCCCTGTGTATAAAATTGATTTTGGTTTGTTAACTCTCATTTGCTACCGCCAGGCACTTCAACACTTGGTTATGCCGCCAAGTGTATCGACCTTGGGACAGACTGGCTTTGAATCTTGACAGAATGTGTTTAACTGCTGCTGTGTCTGAACGCAGAGGACACGGGGGCTTCTCACTAAGACGCTGCTCAGGGTTTCGGGGGCGACGGCAGCACAGGAGAGGTTGTTCTGATAATGAATCTAATCCTAGGTGCCTCCATACTCCAACTAATTGTTTCCAACTAATTAATGGTGCAGAGGTGAGGTCAAGATGTGTGTATGTGAGGCGAGCGCAAGGATGACAGCGGACTGGGCTGTGTGAAGGGTGATATTTCACACCACTGCTGCTATTTAGATGTATTTTGAGGTCATGATGCATTTTGGCATCTGCTTTAAGGGGTTTAAATTATTGAAGTGGTTGGAGATCGTTTCTTTACTTTTATTCTACTTCTTTTTTAGTTTTTCTGCACGTATTCTGAGAGCAAATTTCATGTTTCAGGTGTGCTTAATCAGGCATGATCATCAATTAGGTGGAGGTTATGGAGGTGAAATAGAGGATTCATGTGATCAAAAGCTACATAAACCTCAATTTAGGGCTGGTTAACATTTAAAGTGTCTGTAATCTGCTCATAAATGACTAATGTGTAGGATTTAGAAGAATCTATTGGAAGAAATGGAATATAATAGTCATAATTATGTTAATTGATAATCAACTGAATATAAAAATCTATGTGTTTTCTGCTTAAAATGAGCCCTTTATATATACATACAAATACAAAAAGTATAGTGCTATAGTGGTTCAATGATCAGCCACAACTCATCTTATACTAAAACATAATTTCATCTCGACAAGTAAGACTGTCAGCTGCCAGAACAGTACGTTTTGGTCCATAAAACCAAAATAAGGAGCTGAAAGATGCTTATATGCTCTCTACAGTTGAGGGGAACTGCAGAGTCAGTTTCATAACTACAATGGACCCCTCTATAAGAATATAATATAAGATTATTATCTTTTAAAACTCCAGTGTGAGGATTTGATTCAAACTCCCTAACTTTACCCTCCCCTTCCAAGCATTGTTGGAGAAAACTGCTGTGCCTTTGGGTGAAACCCACAAAAGAATTGGTGAGCCGATCCTCCATTTTAAGGTACAAAAAAGGATAACTATTCCTGTAATCAAGTGATTATACACTAATTTAAAACATACCTATGAATATTATATTCCATTGCTGCCAATAGATCCTACTAAATCCTACACACTGGTCATTTAAGTTTATTAGAAGTGTGATTATACAATTTAGATACAGTAACTCATTTGTGTGTATCAAACCCTTTTTGGATTCTTTCACGTACCAGCACCTGACAGAAGTATGCTTCTGTGCACATAGTTTCTACATCTCTCATTAATTAATAACAATAATTAGCTTATTATTATAATAGGACTATAATTGAAGGTAAAAATAAATCAAAAAAATCTTAGAAATCTTGGAGCAATGATACATCTCATAAGCGACTGGCCCAAAGGGTTTGACTGCATCTTTCATCGGGGCACAACATGTTTGCTTTTTTCGTATTCCAGCTCTTTCCAACTAATCTTTTTCCTCCGTACAGGTTCCCAGTTTATCTCTCAGTGCTGCTAAACTTGAAAAACAGCTTTGGCAGACCTTGCCACTTTCTTCTGCTGATTTATTTGCCACACTAACAATTTCTTTTTCCTTTTTTTTTTTTTTACATTTTTGAGGGTGTTGCTTTACTTCATACAATTCAGTGGATTTACCACAGCTTCTACAACCTCTCTGCACTTTCTGTGTCTAAGTGCTGACTGAACTTACTGAACAGCTCCCTTAGAGATCCATATCAGCCCTTTTTCATTATCACATAGGATTTATAGAACTTTTATCGCTCCCGCTCTCTCGTCTTCATTTTTTTCTTCCATCAGTCTCTCTCTGTACCTGTATATCCATCGTGTGTCCGTCACTCTAGTTCCCTCTGTCTTTCTCTCTTCCTCTCTCCAGTATTCATACTCTCTGTCAGCTATTAGCTAATCCTTCTTCTAATCCTGTTAAAGAGCGTTATGCTGTTAGCAGCTATTTGGGATGATCTATTCACACACACTCATACACACATAGGTATTCATCCTCTCTTTCTCCTCTGTTTTCCATTTTGCCTCTCTGTAAATGTGTTTTCTGTTCCTCTTCAGCCACCAGATCTTTTATTCATGAGCCTGAGATGGAGAAGAGATGGGCTAATTTATTCACAGCTAACTTTGGCTTGCCACGGTGTGTAGTGTTTGTGTGTGCGTGTGTACACACAGAAATTACATCTGTTAAGATTATTTGAAAGCACTTCTCTCCTTTCTTATATGAAACTTTTGTAAATAAGGCTTGATTATTTGCCCTGTTTCATTTTTTAGGTATGTTCATGGTTTTCCTTCTTTGGGTGTAAAAATGAAGGATACTGTGAAGAAAGACATGATAGAATAGATGAATGTTGCCTCCAGTCACAGAGATATGAGATGGGGTTTCTGTGGACATACATGCAAATGTAGGAGAAGTCATGTTTCAGCTGCTAGATAATCCCTGAGATTGGGTCCGTAACTTTGAGTGAAACAGAACCATCCATTATCTTTTACAAATGCACTCAGTGTAACAAGGTGTGGTCACATAAGGTCCCCAAGGAATTCATCAAACACAAATTGGGCTCTACTCTAGAGCTTAAACAATTAGCCTACTAATCAATTAGTTGACTGAGAGAATATTGATTGGTGTCTATTTTGATAATTCATTAATAATTTCAGTAGCCATGGCATTGTCTGTAGAGCCACCACTTCTATCTAGACTAAAATACTTTACAACAACTATGGGATGGATTACCGATACAGATATTCATGCTAATGAGTTAAGTAGTTCCCTGATTTTTCCTCTAGTGCCACCAAAAGGTTTACCTAGATCTGGCTTTGAGTGAAATGTCTATTCTGTTGAATGGATTGCCATGAAATTTGGTGACATTGAGGTTAAATTATGATAACTTGCACGTTTAAAAAAAGGGTTAAAGGTTTTGCTAAAACACTAAAAGAAGATAAACATGGTAAACATTACACCCGATAAACATTAGCATGTTAGAATTGTCATTGTGAGCGTATTAGCATGCTTATCTGTAAGTACAACCTCACAGAGCTGCTAGCATGGATAAAGACTCTTGTCTTTTTTAGAGCCCGACTGATGAACTTGAATTCATTGAGCTGGAATGAAATTAGACCTTTTCTATGCAGATTGTGCACCAATTTTGCACTGATATGACACTGCAAATGTACTCAGAAGGCTGCCTTCTTAAATAATTAACTTTATTAAAGAATATTTATGTTAAAAATTCTTTAACATGTTAAATAATTTAACATATATATTGTCAACCAGTTCTAGTTGACATTGCTGAGAGCTGCTTTTCTCTTATTCTGCGCTGCTTGCCACAGTATACATCACAGTGCAAAAAGCTGGATGATGTTTGCAGTGACACCAATTTATTAACACAAGCATTTTTTTGTAATATATACCAGAAATACAACTGTCTTCATAGCAAATATACGCCAATACAGTACCGATATGTTAGTCAACCAATATATTGGTCGGTTGGATGTTTCATAGACTAAACGATAATCAGTTAAACAAGAAATAATTGGCAGATCACACTTAAAATTTCTGGTACTTCAGTGTTCATGGAGGTTGTGTGAAGGTTGCCATCCATTTCAGTTTTTCTCGGTTCATAAACTGTTAAACCAATCTGATTATGAAAAAGGGCATCACAATATAACAATTAGCATCAAATGATGCTTACATTGTCCTCCATTAGAGCAAAGGCAAGGGTGGTGTTATACTAATTTGTAAGGTTGTGAAGTGTCTAACACACATACAAACACGCACACTCAGAACTCCCTCCTGAGCAATAAGACCTCTCCATGGATCATTGCCTGTTATAACAGCATTATTTGGTTATTGACTGAAGCTGTTTTGCATAGGAAAACAAGTGATGTACAAGATGTGTGATTTTATTCTTCTGACCACTGTGAAAGTAAATCAACCCTGACAGCCTCACACAGATCTGCATGATCAGTGTTAAGCTCCACTACAATCAGCGTGGAGATTATTCATTATTATTACATGTAACTTCATCCTCTTTCCAGAAATATTACCCAAGATTAGTTAAGCACCTACTTCCTATGAACATAAATTCATTATTCATGAATTCATTAACCTCTCCAAATACAGGCAATTTCACCCTGTCTTGAAAATTAGATAAAGGGTCTTACTCACTCCTACTAATATGTTTCAACCTTTAAACCTATTGTGGCTTTATCTGACGCCACCACTCCATGTTGCCACGGGCGTGATTGGACTACAGGCTGTCAAATACTATTGACTAAACCACAAAAGTTATGTAAAATTACAGGGCCAGATTTAACATTGATCTTAATCAGTGTTTCCAGTGTTCATCAATTGTCTGTTATTCATGATGAAATGTCACGATTAAATTACAGGCTGTAGATCTTGCATAATTCAGACTTGACTCATGATTAATATTTGCTTCACAATTTGTTGCTCAGGTAGAAAAGAAATGTCAGAATGGATAAAAATCTACAGGTCTTCACTTTCTGCTTCTCTTTCATGGCTTTTTGCAAGAATTTGGTTCCAAATATAGAACTGCTGAACCCGCTGCTGATTGCCCTTGTCCTTTGAAAAATGCCAAATGATCAAATCATGTAGTTTCATCATTAAAGAAGCTGTCAGTGACCGACACAAAAGGTACTCCTGAGCTATTCCGAGGAACATCTCAGCATTACCACGTAGCAGCTGAAGGTGCTATACCGTCGTATATCAGTAAGACCCGCACTGTCCTCCAAGCGATGATTGCTTGAGAATCTGGGGTCAGGCTAATAATGATTCCTGCCCCATTAATTTTACTGCTCCAGCCTGGACTGGACCCTCTTAAGGGTGGCGTGTGTTTAATTAATCATCTCATCCTGATGTCTGGTCAGTGGTCACCCTATCCGTCTCTCACTGTTCCTCTTCGGATGAATAAAGAGGGCTTTTCATCAAGCTTAGAGAAATGGAAAAATGGAAGACTTAATTAATAGTCTCTCTTTCTCCCTCTTGTCTTTTTCTACTTCCTTTTCTCCTTTCAGACTAATAAAGGTGATGCGTTGGCCAGTCGCGTCCAGAACACGCTGGGCTCCTACGAAGAAATGAAAGACCTGTTAACCAGCCATTCTAACCAGAGCCACTTGGTGGGAATCCCCAAAGGCAGCAACAATGTGCAGACCCCAACCACTTCAACGACGGAGAGACCCGCCATGGAGTCCCAGCTTTTCACCGAAGCCCTGAGAGGAGGAACAGGTGGAGGAGGAGGAGGAGGAGGAGGAGGAGGTGGAGGAGGAGGAGGAGCAGCAGAAGGAGGAGTTGGGGACAAAAGGATGGGAAATGCATCTTCCTCATCTTCAACTTCCATGCAACCTCCTGCCTCGACCACGTCGTCAAACACCACAACGGTCCCACATCAGAATCTGAAAAAGTCACGGAGCTCCATGGACTGGTCAAGGGCAGGCCACGGACAGAGTACCCAAGGAACAGGCCTTGTTCTGGGGTTAGGACAGAATGGGCAGGGGCAGGTTACAGCAGCTGCAAGTGGAAGAGGGAAAATGACTTTATTAGAGGAACAGAGGCATGAAGAACTCTTTAGCTCGCTTAAAGATGAACTCGGTTTGAAAGGAGACTCAAGCCCTTCTTCCTCCTCTTCGTCCTCCTCTTCCTCTTCCTCTTCTTCTCGGAGAAGGCACTCTTCCCACCCCTCCAAGACCCTTCCTCTCCCAGGTGAGTCCCACATAGCAAGGCTTCAAAGAATTAGGTCATTTTTGGGAATTAACTTATGTGCTTTCAATTTAAGAGTTTCATGAAAGGATTGATACCGCTCTCATGTTTGTACATTAAATATAAATCTAGAGCCAACAGCCGTTTAGTTTAGCTTAGCATTAAATCTTAAATTCCTGAAGATGGGATGGTCCCACACACTGACAGTCTCCCCACAGACGGACACACGCACAGGAGAGTTATATATAAGCTATAAGCTTACCTACAACACAGGTATCACAAAGAAACTTTTAAAAGCGGCTGTGAATGTGCTTCTAGTGACTGTAAAAGCTCCAGCGTTTCTGTTTCCAGTGCAGACACGGAGAGTCTGACAGCAGCTGCTGATAAGCTCTGACTACAAGCACTGACTTCTTGTTACACTAAAGGTAGTCAGTCTCTCAATCACTCCGGTCCGTGTCAAGATCTTGTGGCTGTCCTTTGCAGGTCTCTGATGCATTTTTTAGATTTACTGAGAGGGGATCTATCAGAATTAAGGGGTGCAGTTATACTTTACCAGTGTTGAATATCTCAGAATTTGGTTGATCAAACTTGCCATTCACACAACAAAAAAGGGACTTCTTATGTTTGATATTCATGGAAAATGTTGTATGTACTTGTTGGAACCATGAGTGCTTATGAATAATTTCAGTGCAAAACACTATCACCTTTTGGGCGGGATTTATGAAAATTAACATCTGCATCCGATGATAACCACATCTTTCAGTTGATTTCTAAACCACCAAGCAACACATAATTTGCTTTGATTGTGATTGGCTCCATCCATCTGGGAGAGGGATTTTTCTTGGCATTCAACCTTCATTAGATTTTGACAGTGCAGCACAAAGTAATATTCTACAATAACAGGTGTTGCTTTGGTTATTTTTCACTTTCTTTTTGGTTTTTCTCCTTTTTCCTTCTCTTCACGCAGATGGTGGCAATTTTCGATCTTCCACCATCGATAGTGGCCATTTTAAGTCTTCCACTAACACAGAAAATGGTGGACATTTTAAATCCTCCCCGTTTGAAACTGAGACAGGTTCTCACCTGTCTACATCGTCCTCCCCGCTGGCTTCCACATCAGTTCTGACGACGCCTACTCCTGGTCTAACCACTCCCACTTCTGGACTGACTACCCCCACCTTCCCACCTGGTAGCCTATCAGGGAAGCCGATCGCAGTGCAGCAGAAACCCACAGCGTATGTTCGACCAATGGATGGCCAGGACCAGGCGCCTAGTGACTCTCCCCAGCTTAAACCCCCCCTAGTGGCCACAGAGGGATTTAACAACAGTCAGGCTTTCGGAGCAAACTCCGGGAATGTGAAGAATAAATTGCCGAAACTGAGTCTTAGCCACGCAGGCGAGGTAAGGGAACAAACTTCCATACATAGTTTAGTAATGAATGGTGTGCCGGTGTACGTTGAGGCTTGTTAGACCAAAAAGTATGCATATGAAGGAAAACTGGTATCGGTTCCATGTTGCTTTTGTCTTGTAGTTGTTACAGCATGATCAATACAGATTCCCCAAAACATTATAGAGACAAATAGAGACTGAAAAATACAAAGTATTGTTAGCTACACTAAACCTATCATTTTTTTAAGCCTGGTCAATATCATATTAAAGACATTGTAAGGCCAAAAATTTTGATTATTGGATTTTAGACTTTTTAGGACTGCGCAAGTCCCCACAGACACCCTGAATAAAGATTAGTAGGGTGATTAGCAGGGATAACAAATATTCTTAAATAAAGAATTTATTTCTTAACTTCCAAAATAAAGAAAACGCTTTTATAATATTTCCATATATATTTGATTATGAGGAATAACCCTTTGTTTCATTTTCAAGGGGGTTCTCAACCAAATGTGACGAAAACAAACAAAATCATACAGAGACAAAACAAACAAAAAAAGAAACCTAAAAAGTTACAAACCAATGGACAATATTTTTTTGTAACGTTATGTTTCAACAGGAAATACATACAATTTTGAAAGAAACATTTTTGGAACATAAACAACTTTGGTAATTCATAATAAATATAAATGACAAATGCACCTTTGATTTTTTATTTTGACAGCCAAAATATAGTTTAATTGCTCAAAAACAAATTTAAAAACCATAGTTTATATATTTATTTATATAATCTAACCATGTATTATTAAAACTTTTTTTTCCAAGGAATTAGCATTTAAATAACTGAATGCAGTGTTACTTATGCTGGAGACATGAATGCTGAAATATAAACCCCTCCTTCCTTAAAGGCACCTAACATTATTCTAAGAATATAAATGACACCTGACAAAAATAGAACCTAAAATGTATTCATGAGCGTTTGGTTGAGTTGGATAACAGTGACACATACTGTCTGGGCTTCTGATGTTGTGGGTCGACTGCATGTTTGCAGGTTTGCGATAACGACAGCAACTCTCTCTTTTTCAAATCCAGCACTGTGTTTTATTTCCATAAATGATATATTGGGTGAATATTTACACATTAAGCTAATTGTAATGTCAAATGAAACTGACATTACAAAACTCCTCCACACGTCACTCTCTGAGTCACTCACTTACTCCCTGACCTCCCTTTCTCTCTCTATCTATCTCTCACTCACTTTCCTTTTCAAAACAGCAAGAAACACCAGGCTTTATGATGTGTGTGTGTGTGTGTGTGTCTGTGTACTGTATGTGTGCTGTGTGAAACTGGTTGACAGGCGAGTAGTCATCCATATCGAGCAAGCCAGCTGTTCCTGTGCTTTGATAGAGCTAGTGTGTGTGTGTGTGTAGCACTCCAAATGAGCCCGAGATGGAGCTTTGAGCATATGGCACTGAGAAGGAGAAAGCAAGGGAGACAGGGGAGACAGGGACAAAATTAAAATATACTTTACTTTCAAAACTTTCCTATGGAGGGTGAGAAAGACAGAAAGTACATTCATGGCCGTGAGTGGTTTCTTTCACTTTGTTTCACCCACACATCCATGGATATCGCTTGCTTACCGTTTAGTTTTCACTTCTCTCATATTTATTCTGGCGAGAGTTTGTTGGAAGGAAAATGTAAACTCAATACTGACTGAGGGGGAGGAAAAGAGGGAGAAAGCGGGGAGACTGATGATGGGAGATGGAGGGGTGGTGGAGGGGATGAGGCAGAGAGAGTTAGGAGGGATAGAGGAAGACAATGACTGACTGATTACAGCACCTTATCATTGCTGTATTTGTTCTGGTTAGATGAGTTATTGGATGTGTTCTGCAGCTTAAACAGCAAATAGCAGCAAATCAGAGGATTGAACCAGACACCAAATACAAGACTTCAGAGAGGCCTGATGCTCATTTTATACCAGAAAACAACAAGGGTTCCTACACAGTATAAAAAAAATATGGAATTTGATTTTAGTAATTTCCAGGTTTAGATAGTATGCAAAAAAGGAGTTTTGTGTATTTGTGTTTCCAGACTATTGCCCTTTTTCTAAAATATAAAATTCAGAATATCTGAAAATAAATTAAGTGTTTATCATGGCGTATGCTAGAACTGCCAACAGTCTCTATATACATAAAACCACCAACGATTAAAATGGTTACACCAAACATCTATAGTAAAAAGTGTATCTGTAGTCATGTCTCACATCAAATATTTTGTTACAGAGGTGGTTTGGTCCGATGGCTTATTTTCAGGAGCACAGAAGCTGCTGAAATATTACAGGAATATTAATAGGAATACTACAGACAGCAGTGTGTCTCCATGATCCTCTCTCTCTAATGTGACTAAAGGTTGCTACTTGTCACTTTGATCATGAAGGTGACATTACTCCATTAAGCACACAGTGTATATATAGTGTAGAATTGAGTATTTATAGGATAAAGATTAGATAATATTATTTATCCAAGATGAAACTTTGATCAACAATTATTTGGCAACATAATAGCATACATAGTCAAAACACATAAAAAAACTATTTATTTGCACAATAAACATATAATTTTCTACTCTGATGTCAAATATCATCTGAAAAATCCACCAAGAAGTCAGGAAATTTGACTCAGGAAAATATGGAATTTTTAAATAGAAAATGTCCACGTTTTACCCTTTGATTAGTGAATGTGGGAACTGAAAGTGTAGTAACGGTGGTCCTAATGTGTTACATTAATGCAAAACCAATAAAAGGAATTCCTGTGGAGTGAATCAGCGTGATTGATTTTCCATTTAACGGTTTTCAAATTAGTTCAGGTGCCATGAATGTGTTTGAAATACTCAATATGTTGCTCACAATTCTGTTGTTGAGTGTTCAGAGGTTTTGTGTGTGTATGTTAAGGGTGTGTGTGTGTCTCTGTGTGGCAATAAGCCTTTAAACTGCTGTGAAGCTTTCCTGTTTGCACTTAGAATTATTGATTGGAGCCCTGTTACTCCAAGTCTGTGTGTGTGTGTGGTGTGTTGTGTGTGTGGTGAAGAGAGAGAGAGAGGAAGAGAGAAGAGAGAGAGAGGGAGGGAGAGACGGGTACTGTAATACTATTGATCTTTTCCTAACAGTTACAGTAGGCTTAAATTTACTGCTGGACACACATTTAGTTGCTGTCGGCAGCTCAAAGTGAGGCACTGCATGATTTTACCTTAGAATGATCCCGTTTGAGTTATTATGATGTTTAGCTATTATTACTGTGGTTTCAACAGCATGTCGATATCTGCTGTGTCAAATGCATCAAACCAAAAAGAGAAGAATAAAGAATTATTAATAAGCAAAGATAACACTTAAAGCCTTCGAAAACTTCACTTCAAATTTTAAGCATTTCTTTTCACGCATTTCATAGTACAAATAGTCTGCTTGAACAATAATGTGTGTCTGATCTGCAAAAAAAAAGTAAAATTTCTACATTAAACTCCTTCAAGTTTCTACATCACACTTTTTTAAGTTGCACATAGGATGGACAGGATGTCACGAATCATGTGTGTAGGCCCCGCCCATAAGATCTGATTCTCAGTGAGCACAGAGAAACTTTCCACTTTCAGCTGATGAACGTGACAACATCCTTCTAGTGTCAAACTCTGCACATACATCGATCTGCACAGTGAATCTCAAATATCAAACTGTACGAACAAGCAGAAAAACATATATCTTTTAGTGGAGGAGGACTTTAAATAAAAGCATCTTTACTTATTTATTAGGAGTTTAACACTGATCTTGTTTCATTTTGTAGGTGTGGTTTAATCAGATTTGATGAACAACTGTCATTCAGATGTTGCTAAATCCTGATTGGTTGAAGTACATGACGTCACCTTTTTCTAACCCTTTTCATACCATTGAAAAGACAGATATCTCAAATGTGAAATAACCCAAATAGTTTGAACTTTGGGAGAAATTAGTGTGTGACTATAAGAGAATGGGTTGTCAGGGCCTTTAAAGCAGAATTAATTACTCTTTTGACCACTTGGGGATAGCTCCTGCTGAGGCTGGATACAAGTTTGATGAGAGCAGTGAGACTGAACCGAAACAGTAAAGTTGCAGGCTGTAAAACTAAAACACTGAGCTGAAAGATGGTAAAATGCATGGTAGATCTGAGGGGAACTGCTGAGTCAGGTGGTAATTCTTTGTGGGATTGTCCCTACGAGTGACCCTGTCCACATTACATGTAGTCATTTCATCCATTGTTTTAAAAAAATTGCAGCTTTAAAGGTTATATATATAAGATTTAGAACATTCATTTAGCAGCAAACATCTGAAGTCATTGCGTCCTGAGCAGAGAATAACGTCACACTCTCTTTGCCTGTGTTGATATATGCATAAAATTACTGCTTTTGTCTGCGGAGTCTGGTGGTGTATGACAATATTATAGCTGTTTCTGGTTAAAGGTATAGGTCTGTAGGGATCCTTTCCGTAATGTTGTCAGACATTTATAATATGAGACTGTTTGTTCCAAACAAGCACTTTAGTGGACTTTAACTACTTTAAAGGATTAGCCAACGTTACGTTTTACGGCTAATTTAACTCTATAAATTAATGGTTAGTTTGACCAACCTACCTTGGTTATTGTTGGAAAGACTAACAAAGACAGTTGTGTTGAGTTTTATTTATTATCTGTCCAGTTTGAAGAGTGTTATTATCTGATAGGTAAAATTTAATACTACCCATTGGCTTTGTTCTGAGAGGCTGGTGCTCTAGTGCGACATCTAGTGGCAAGTATATTTGTGTATAACCTTTAATTTGTGACAAAATTATCAACAAAAAGGTCTATTTTTGTCTTCAAAATTCACATAACATCGAAATATACTTTTTTATAAATCTTTAGGTATTATTAGGTCACATAAATTCAACGGGATTATACAAAAATGGGATTCTGATAGAAGAAGAAAAATCGTATCTTTTGTCCTCGAACGGGAAAAAG